TTACCCATCTGCCATCCTCCATCCTCGTCATCTACCCATTGCTTCTTCCCACAGGCCTTCTGAGAGCACGTCCTGGTCTTTCAGGATCAGGCCTTGCCCTCACAACACCCTGATAACTAGAGCAGACCTTTCCCTGACCCCCTGTGCTACCCTGAGATTGGCCGGCCTGGGACAAGCTGGACAGCCCCTGTCCTGGACCTCCATGGCATGGAGCACAGAGCTTAGAGCACAGAGCATGGAACACAGAGCACTGAGCACAGGCCTTGAGTATGTGCATGCTCTGAGGCTCTGAGGAGGGGTCCACCTGGACCGTAGGCAGTCAGGGGACAGGGGGCAGGGGGCAGGGGAAGGGAGCTTGAAGCTCTCAGAAGCATCATGAGGGCTGGCAGACTGACGGGGTGGGAGCAGAGATGGGGTGCAGTGTGCACACAGAGACCTCTCAGGACAGCCCTGTCCACGCCCACATGCGTGTACATGTGTGTGTGTGTGTGTGTGTGTGTGTGTGTATGTGCGCACATGTGTGCACTCACATCTTCACAGAACAGGCTTGGTGCGGGGGAAGCGACCTGGGTGGAGAGGGACAGCACATTATAGGTGCCATCTGAGAGCTGTGCCTCTGGGGTCTTTCAGAGGAGGGGGGGTGGGGGTGGGGGGCTCCTGCCTGTTTCTCCTGTGCCCTGTGCTGCCCTCACTCCGCCCCTTCCTCCCACACCCTAGCCCAGTCCCAGGAAAAGAGACAAGTTTCCTCCCACCCCTTCCCTCTCTTCCTCCCTTCCCCTCCCCTTCCTCTCCCTACCCCCTCCTCCCTCCTCCCTTTGTCCTCCCCTCCCCCTCCTCCCTCCCCCTCCTCCCTCCTCCCTCTGCCTCATCCCTCCTCCCCCTCCCCTCCTCCCTTCTCCCATCTGTTCTGTGCTGGCCTCTCCTCCCACCCCATCCTAGGGGGCTGCCTGATGGGGGGAGGCGGGGTGCTCACACACTGATCCCTTCCATATGTGGGGGGGGGGGAGCGGGCCAGGTTAAGGGGCCAGGTTGGCTGTTGGGCATCTAAAGGGAACCCCAGTTCCACCCTGCTGGGGCTGCCCCCTTGTGAACTAACTCTGAGCCCCTAAACAGTAGGCAGCCCCCCCACACACTGTCCCTCCAGGGAGGGAGGGAAGGGGGTACCCATCTTGCAGCCTGCCCCAGTCCTCCCACCAGGATCCATGGGGCCTATGGTTGGGGGGAGCCCTAAAACTCAGCTTCCGCTTGCCTAGCTGGGGACCCAGAGTGGGGTGGGGCAGGGAGAAGCTGGTCTGTCTGTATCCTGCCCTGGGGAGGCCCCCCCCCCCAGTTTCTAGAATAGCCCAGAGGGTCCCCTGTGCCAGGAAAGCCATTACCCTGCCAACCTCCCTCCTGCTAAAAGCCTCCCCTCCCCTGGGGCCTCTTGCACTTATTTCCTCTCCAGGTCACCTAGCCCAGAGTACCTCATGCTGGAGGAAGGCCTAGTCCGGCTTAACCCTTTCTCTGCCCCAGCTAAGCCAGACTTGCCCACCTGCCACAACCAGGGTGCCCAGGAACTTGTGGAGAGCAGGAGGGAGGGTCCAGAGAAGATTGGAGGGTGGAAAGCCCGGGAGAGAAGGGGAGGCTTGAGGAACCCCTCAACTCTGGTGCTAAGATCAGTCTCATGTCATACTCTGGGTTCCTCTGGGAGCATAGCTTCCCGCCCTGGCTGATGAGCATTCCTCTTCCTTCATCCCTCCGGGGCACTCCCCCTCCTGCCTGCATTGTGCTGCTGTCCTCCTGGTCCTCTGTGGAGCACAGCTCTGGAGGAGGGAGCACGGGAATGGACAGAGGAGAGTGGTGGCCCCAGGCTGAAGGGAGCCCAGAGAACTCTGGTGGTGAGGAGGAAAGTTGGAGCACAGAGTGGGAGGAGTGGGGCTCAGGTGGTGTCCCCCGGTCAGCGGCCCTCCTAGGGGCCCTCCTCCTCAGGGCCTCCAGATTCCTTGCTGGTAATTATTCTGCACTCTGAAGGAGGAGCTGCTTCTGGAGAGGCAAGATCTGGTCAGGAGGCCACTTCCGGCTCAAACCCACTTCTGTGTTCCACAGCCCACAAACTCTTTTCCTTTTCTTTTTCTTTCTCTTTTCTTTTCCTTTTCCTTTTCTTTTCCTTTTCTCTTTCCCTATTCCTTTCACTTCTTTCACTTTTTGTTTCCTCTTTTTTTTTTTCTAAACCTGGCAGTGTTCAGGGCTCGCTCTGAGCTCTGTGCTCAGGAATCACTTCCGGCAGTGCTGGGAGATCCAACGGTGCATCAGGGATTTGGCACATCAGGGATTTGAACCAGGCTCGGCACCATGCAAGGCCAGCACCTTCACCCCTGTTCTGTCTCTCAGCCCCATTCCTTCCCTCTCTGCTCTTGCAATGACCCCCGGTCACATACCGGGCTGCTGTGTGCGGACATGGCATGCTGGCATGTGGGCAGTGCCAGGGGTGGAACTCAGGGTCTCAGCTTTCCCAGATGGGCATCCTTGCTACTGAGCCATCCAAGGCCCTGAGCCCTACATCCTTCCTGGGACTTCCAGCTATAGACCCAGAGTTGGGGTCACAATAGGGAAACCCCAGGCCAGAAGCTATTAAAACTATGATGATGAACACTTCTGTGGTACTTAATATGGCAGTTTCGTTACATATTCATTCAGTTTATTTATGCCCACATCATGATGTCTGTTTCACAGAGAGAGGAGGGAAGGATAGAAAGGAGGAAGGAAGGGAGAGAGGGAAGGAGGGAAGGGAGGAAGGAAGGAAGCAATGGAGGAGGGGAGGAAGGGAGGGAGTGATGTCGGTGGGCCCCATGGGTGACTTACGTGAACTGGGGAGAAGAAAGATGGTCACTTTCTCCCCAACTGCCTCTGCCACCCGGGACCCAGGTTACTGGGCTCTTGTCTCGCCTCGCAGAAAGGAATTTCAGGAGTAGACAAGCAGTGACTGCACTGCACTGCACTGCAGTGCAGTCTTCTGCCCCTGCGCCTGACTGTTCCTCGCCGGGGCCCCTTTGAAGGGAGCGGGTTGAGCTTTCCTCCCCGCCCCGACCAGGGCTCCGGCAGCGGAAGACCTCCAGGACCAGCCACCACCATGCTGAGACCACACATGAAGGTACTGGCAGAGGGACAAAGCCACGTGGGTTCCGGGGCCGAGATCTCCAAGCCTACTCGGATTGGAGTTGAGCATCTTTCACCCAGATCCTCCAAATTCCAGTAGGTGGGGGTCACACCCACCACCTGGCCCCCTGGCACTGTGTAATCCCATCAACGGCCAAGACTCAGAGACTATAAAATCCAGCTCCCGGAACCGTGCGGCCGCATTTGCGGCCGCGCGACATCTTATCAGGACATCTTTTTATGACATCTTATTATCTCATTCCTACTTTGGACAAACTTGCAGGCTATCAAATGTAGCCTGCCCACAGGGCAGAGTCTGGCAAACTCCCCGTGGCGTACCAAATATGCCAAATACCAGTAACAATGATGGGTCTCATTCTCCTAAAGAGCCTTGAATATAATCTCAGGGCTAGGATGAAAGAGACGTTACTGGGGCCTGCTCGAGGCAATCGACGAATAACAGGATGATGAAATGAAATGAAAAATGAAAACAAGCAGTGAAATAAATGGATTTTATTTGGAGGGTTTTTAAGGTGTGGAGGGGGAGAGAGTGGGAGAGAGAGAGAGAGAGAGAGAGAGAGAGAGAGAGAGAGAGAACACAGGCTTCTCCAAGGATGGAGAGAGAGCCCCTACACACATCCTAGCATTAGACACGAAAGCATGAAAGTACACATCTCAAGAGGGGAGATGCGGGAGACATATGTGCTCAGGCACCATGTGCTAGGCCATGTGGGCACAAGCAGCACGTGGGCTCGGGCAGCATATGCACGCCCTTCCTTTGTTCAAAGTGGCTGTTATAGGGTTTCTCCGACCTGCTCCCACGTAGGGCTTCTTCCCAGGTAAAAGTTCCTTGCTAAGGAGGTTACCAGGGAGACTGGGAGTGGTGATAGTCTTCTTTGGGCTGAATCACAAAAGTTAATCAGATTGAGGGAGAGGTCCAAGGGAATTCGAGGAGTTTCCATCATGGGGAGGGTCCAATCTCCTCAAGGTCCACTGCTCAAGGTCTTATCCGTATCCACAAAGTGGATCAGACTTGGAATTTTCTTTCCAGAACTTTTGCTGGCCTGCTTCATTGTCCAGGGCCTTTCTCTATCTACCTGCCTACATCAGGAGGGAGGGGAGGAGAGTGGAAAGGAACAAAAGAAGGATGGAAGGAAGGGAGGGAGGGAGGGAGGAAGGAGAGAAGGAAGGAAAGAAGAATGGAAGGAAGGAGAGAGAGAAAAGGGAAGAAGGGAGGAAGGGAGGGTAGGAGGGAAGAAAGAAGGATGAATCTTGGGTGAACTCTGGCTGGGTGCTTGATGGCTCAGAATCTCAGGGACACTGACCCAGACACCACGGGGTCCCCCAGCCTGCAGAAGGCTTAAACTCCCTCCTCACCTGGCACAGCCAGACCCTGCGCTGCATGTGGGGTGCCCCGCCCAGCCTGTTTGAGAGTAGCAGCCTGCTCTGCTGAGGAGAGCAGATCCGATAGGGCAGGGGCCTGGGCTGAGCCTGGGGACTCTGGTTCAGAAGTTCAGAGAAAATAAAGGTCAGAAGAGAGTGCCCAGCCCAGGGTGCCCTTACTCTAGACTTCATCCCGCAGACAGGTGTAGAGAAGAAGGCAGAGATGGGATGTGTAGGCACATGGGCGCCAGCTGGGGGACCCTACCCTGGCAGGCAGGTGTCTGACCCCCACTGTCTGCTCTGGGCTTCCCCCCACCCCCTATGCGGTCCTTGGCTCCACATAAAGGCCACAGCAGTAGTGGCCACGGCCTCCTGCTGGCCCCATCAGGAGAGGCAGAAGCACCATGACCATAGTGTCAGGAAGAGGAACCTCTTCACCAACGTCCTTCCTCAGACTCAGCCGGCCCCCCCTATCTCTCCAGGAAGACCAGTTCCGAGGAAGCCAAGAAGCCAAAAACCAAGGTTGTCACTGGAGTGACCCCAGAACCCACCACTAGCCCCATCTGGGAGCAAACCCTGAATGTGGACCTCCAGGCCCGGGACACAGTGGACGAAGGTGAGGCGAGTAGGCGGGGGGCGGGGCCGGACCAGGGTGGCAAGGAGAGCCCCCTCCTCTCAGCTCAGCTGGAGGCCACCTGGACCCCTCCTGGTGTGCTTCCAGGAAAAAAAAAATAACACCTCATAATACTGTCATGCCTCATCTCCCCGGTCTGCTCAGAAAATAAGTTGCTCCACATAAATGAATTTCCCAGATAATAGGATCCGATCTTTTTTTATGCCTGTTGTCATTATTTTCATACTTATTGCCATCTCCCACAAAAACAGCCCCTTGCAGCATCCTCTCATGCCCTCACGCTCGCTCACGGCCAGCCTGAGAAGGAACCGAGCACTCTGGCTGAGGGGAGACGGCGCAAGCCACTTGAGCAGCTGCGGCCAGCGAGAGCCCAGTCTGGCACATTCTCCCATTTACCCTGCTCCCTGAGTGGCTCCTCCACACACTGGCCAGGGGCTGCTGCCCACTCAACCCTCTTCTGGCCCCTGGATGCCTTTCCAGGCCCTGGATGTGGGCAGATTCCAGCTCCACAGATAACTTAAGGCTTCTGTGCCCCCACACACGTGGGCACACTGGGGGCCTGTCTGGAGCTCGGGAGTGTGCCCAGCTGATGCCAGGCTGACCTGGGTACTGGGATTGGGCATTGTCACCCCAGACCTGCAGGTACCCACAGTGCCTCTTCATTTCCTCTAATCTTTTTTTTTTCTTTTTGGGTCATATCTGGCGATGCTCAGGGATTACTCCTGGCTCCGCACTCAGGGATTACTCCTGGTAGTGCTGGGGGAAGGGGGTGGGGGGCGGGGGGCGGGGCTTGAGCGGTAGAACAGCAGGTAGGCTACTGAGAGTATCTCGCCCACACGGCAGAGCCTGGCAAGCTACCTGTAACGTATTCGATATGCCAAGCACAGTAACAACAAGTCTCACAATGGAGATGTTCCTGGGCCTGCTCGAGCAAATCGATGAACAGTGGGAGGACAGTGCTACAGTGCTTGGGGGACCATATGGAATGCTGGGAATCGAACCCGGGCCAGTCGCGTGCAAGGCAAATGTCCTCCCTCCCCACTGTGCTGTCACTCCAGCCCCCCATTTCCTCTCTAATCTTACAGCTGGCCCTTCTCAGGAGGCCTCATCCGGCTGCTCCCCTAGAAATATTTTGATTTTGGGGCTCTACCTGGCAGTGCTCGTGGCTGGCTTCTGACTCTGTGCTCATGGATCACTCCTGGCTGGGCCGGGATCACTCCTCCCGGGGACCCTATGGGGTGCCAGGAATCGAACCCAGGTTGAGCATGTGCAAGCTACGTGTCTTACACGCTGCACTACTGTTCCAGCCCCTAGGGCCTTCACCTGAATAACTGGACTCCTCGTAAATATTAACTGCAGTCAAGCAAGAGGGAGCAGGGTCTGGGGCAGCAGCCGTGAGGCAGAACATCAGACACTCTGGGACAAGCCAGAGGATTCGGTTTCTGCAGGGAAAGGGGAAGCTAGGGCTTGGGAGGACCGGAAAAAGATGAAAGAGGGCCCTGCAGCCAGGGATTCACATTGATGCCCATGTGTGCCTCAGCGTGTGCGCTTGTGAGATGCCCCGTGCTGGCTCCAGCATGGACCATAAGCGTGTCTGTGAATACAAGCGATGGTGGGTGTGTCTTACTTGTGTGTGACTTACTGTAAGGGTGGGGTGTGTGAGCACCTTCTGTGGGTGAGGTATGCCTCTGTGTGTGTGTGTGTGTGTGTGTGTGTGTGTGCGCGCGCGCACGCGCATCTCTGTGATGGCAGGGGAGGAGGGGGTGGTGGTGAGCAGGGCTAGGCTGGGATCCTGCCCGGGTTCTACGTATCCCCCGTAACTAGAGGAGCAGGTCAGTCAGTGGCCTTGAGGGCCTCTGTGCGGCAGGAGGAGAAGCAGGACTGAGGGAGGAGGGGGCGGCGGGAGGGTGGGATGGGGAGGCGGCAGGCACGGGGATATTGGCAGGCGCCTCCTTACAGATTGGACTAGCTGGACACTGGTTGGAACCTGCTTGGAACCGGTTGCTGTGGTGATGTCAGCAGCAGGGGGTGGGGGAGATGGGGGCCAGGCCAAGAGGGGGGGGAGGGGGGGAAGGGTGGGAGGTAACTTGAGGAGGCGGTAATGAAAAGCAAAGGGGAGTCGGGGGCCAGTGTCAGGGCCAAAGCAGGCAGGCGGTTGAAAAGGCTTGTTGGTCACACAAAGGAGTGGTGGGAGGCGCAGGACCTGGAGGAGAGAAGCTGATGGAGCGTGTGTATAGCCTGGAGACAGGTCAGGGGAAGGAGCTGTCCATTGCCCCAATTACAGAGAGCTCAGAGCAGAGTGGGGGAGGTGCCACCCAGGACCCCACACTCCTTGTTTAGCCTCAGCCAATGCCACCCAGGTTTGGGGGCTCGGGTCCAGGTCGAGCTGCCCCTGGGGGCTGCCTTCTGCAGTTATTGCTGCATCTTGGCCTGGAAATGCTGGAATCCCCCAGCTGAGTTGTGTGTGTGTGTGTGTGTGTGCGTGTGTGTGTGTGTGTGTGTGTATGTGTGTGTTTTCCCTTCAGGGTTGGGTGAGTGTATGTAACTGCAGATGGTTAATGAGGAGGAAAAATAGTGACAGCCACAAGGGCCATTTGCATAGAATTTTCTAAAAAAAAAAAAGTACTCCCCTCCTTACAATCATTTGAGGAGAGGGGTGGGGATTTCCTTTTTAAAGAATGAGCAGGAACCTGACGTTCAGAGAGGCCGAGAGACCAGGGACGGTCACAGAGCATACGGGTCAGGAACCCTGGATCCCAGAGGTGCTGACTCAGACACCTTCCCTTGTCTTGGAGGCAGCCAGCCTCTTGGTGGCTTCTCCCCTCTTTGAACAATGGTTCCATATGGCGCACTCTCAGGGGGGCCTTGGCAAGGGTCTCTCTCTCTCTCTCTCTCTCTCTCTCTCTCTCTCTCTCTCTCTGCATCTAGGGGAGCTGTAGGGAGGAGGGACAATGGGAGGATAATTTGCTTCCTCCTCCCCTCCATAGTCCAAATGGGCCCTATATGCTGGAGCTGTCCGTGGTGCTGAAAAGTCCCTGTGCAGAAAAGAAAGGCAGAGAGAGGGTAGGGTCTGTCCAAGAGACTCCCTGGGGTACCCTCAGTCACCGTACTCCCTCTCCCCTTCTTCTCATCTCCTTCCCTCCTGCTCTCCTTCACTCATTCCCCCTCTCCTCTTTCCTCTTTTCTTCCTCCTCCTCCTCCTCCTCCTCATCCTCCTCCTCCTCCTCCTCCATCTCCTCTTTCTCCTTAAATTATAAATTTCTGGGATCATGAGTCCAGCCTCTCCCATCAGCCAGTTCCACATGGCTCAAACCTCCCCAGAACCAACACTTAAAAACAGACAGTCGGAACCAACAAGATGGGAAAGAAGTGAAAGCATTTGCTGGGCATGCAGCCAACCCCATTTCAATCCCTGGCACCATAGATGATGCCCTGGGCACCGCCAGGAGAGATCCCTGAGCACAGAGCCAGGAGTAAGCCATGAACACCAGCAGGAGCCCAAAGCTACTCTCTCCCTTCAAAAATAATAAAAGCAGATGGATGCCCACGTGAGGGCTATGAAGGGAGTGTGGGAACAATGGTTCTGTGTGTCCAGCCCGGACTCACGCTGTGATCATTTCCAAGTCATCGGTGCTTGCCTCAGACTTGGTGCATTTTAGGATGAAATATAGTCTATCTGGAAAGAGTTTTTTTTTCCCCGAAGCTTATTTTTTGTTGCTGGTGGTGATATACTGGGGCTTGGACACTTGTTTGTGGTTGGCGGGTGGAGAGCAAATGTGTCACTTTATCAGGATCACACTAACAGTGCTGGGATCAGCCTTGTGCTCTCATCTAAGAGGGAGTCTGACCCCCAGCCCCTGGAAGGGGCTTCCTAAGTGGAAATTCTTTTTTTAAAATGGGCTGGAGCGATAGCACAGCGGTAGGGCGTTCGCCTTACAAGCGGCCAACATGGCCAACCTGAGTTCGATTCCTCCGCCCCTCTCGGAGAGCCCGGCAAGCTACCGAGAGTATTCGATATGCCAGACACAGTAACAACAAAGTCTCCAATGGAGACGTTACTGGGCCCGCTCGAGCAAATCGACGATCAACGGGAGGGCCTTTACCTTTACCTTTACCTTTATTAGTGAAACACCATGAGGTACAGTAGTAGACTTACAAATTTTTGTGCTTGGGTTTCAATTATACAATGATCAAATACTCATCCCTCCACTAGTGCCCATTTTCCTAAGTGGAAATTCTTCCTGGTGTTTGCACCAGTTTCTTTTACTCAGAGCAGACTTCTGTGGACATTTGCCTTGAAAGATTTCACAAGCCACTTTTCAAGACTGAGCCTGTCTCACCAGGGCCATAGGAAAGACAGGACCACTCCCCTCCTGACACCAGAGGTTGGGGGGTGTGGGTGTGGCCTGCAGGAGGGGGGGCTTATCCTGGGACTAGCACTCTTGCTGTGCAAGTGGATCTGCATACGTGTTGCCATGGGGGACTGGGTTCAGCCCATGTCCAGCTCAGCACTGGGATTTGGGGCACAGGAGAGAATAACACCTATGTATCCAAACAGCACCTTGAATGGTCCTTCATTCAGACAGCATGTGGGAACATGTGCACAGGTGTGTGGATGCTTGTGGAACCCCCCAGGTAGCCTCTGCTCCCCTGCTCACCTCGCACAGTCTCACTGGCGGGGTGGGGGTTAACTAAGCCCTTCCCTGACTCCGCTTTCGTTTCATTCTCTCTGTAGAGCTGATCATCAAGGTAGTGGACCAAAAGAGCAAAGAAGAACTCGTATCCTACAGAATCCCCATCAAGTTCCTGCAAACCTTCCACCCCTACCACTTTGAGCTGGTGAAGGTGAGTGCAGGGCCCACATGGGCTAGGACTAGGGGCTTGGGGTGCAGATAGGGAGGGGGAAGGGGAGTTGCTGGGAACCACTTGGATGCCCCAAGCTGTATTTTTCAGAGCAGCCCTTGGCACCCCCTTCCTCACCCTGACAAGTTTCAGGTGTGTGGGCTCTGAAAACGGTGCATAGTAGGAAGACAGGAATGGTTGCTATAAGAATTTGAGGGTTGGGACCAGAGGGACAGCACAGCAGGTAGGGAGCTTGCCTTGCATGAGGCTGAAATAGGTTTGACCCCTTGCACCCCATAGGGTCCCTGAGCCCCTCCAAGAGTGATCCCTGAGCTCAGAGCCAGGAGTAAGTCCCGAACATGGCCAATGTACCACCCTCCCAAAAAAAAGGTGGGGGATCTCTAAATGTGGTTCTGTGAAACAGCCCAATTAGGAGAGAACATTTCCCACAAGTAACAAGCACAGCAGAGAGAGATGTGTTCTAGGTACAACAGGCTCAAAGGGCAGGATTGCATCTGAAATCAGGGCCACACAGTGTATACAGAGCTCTTGTAGGGAACAGGTGTGGGCTGGACAGGACACTGGCCCTCCGGGGGGTAGTGGGGGGAAATATTTTACCTCCACGGCTCTCGGACTCAGGGAGAGGAGTCTTCACCTTGGGTCACAGAAAGAGGAAACAGCAGAGGCTGGGGCCCAGTTCTTTCTCCTCTGTGAGCTGCCTTGGCAGGAGGAAGACCCTGGAGAGTCAGGGTGCCTAGAACATAAAGGGCTCCCTGGATATGCCCCTGTAATGGGGGACTGGTTTAAAGCCTGATGTGGGGGAGACATTGGGTTCCTCTATGTGTGGTCTAGACCCAGACCTGCCCCTCTGCCCTCTCTAGTGCTGACAGGGAGGAAGGAAAATTCACTCTCCTGTGGCTTGTGCAGTTATTAAACACCTACTGTGTGCTGGGCTCCAGGCCAGAGAAGAATCAGAAGCACCCCTTCTCCCCCACCCCTGTGCACACTCCAGATTCCTGGACCCGGGGGGGGAGGGGTCAAGAACAATGGGAACTTATGGGGATGGAGTGCTAGTCCAGCTGTAAGGTGCTTGCCTTGCATGCAGCAGATCTGCATTCAATCCCTGATCCCATATGGTCCCCCCAAGCCCTACCAGGGGTGATCCCTGAGCACAGAACTAAAAGTAAGCTCTGAGAATTGCCAGGCGTGGCCCCAAAAACCAAAACAATGAGAACTGAGTTCATCTCTCACCGATTCCTGTCCAACTGTCTGCTTCCACATGGCCTGAGATGCTCAGAGCCCCCAGCATGGCTGTTTGGAGGATCTGGTATAATGACAGGCGCAGAACAGTCCATGAAAACCCTGGCACCCAGCCAGCACTCAGGGTGGGCGCTTCCCTCCTCCCCCCTGCCCCCCAGGGTCTGACACTGACCTGTGTCAGCACCTCTTCACACACACACACACACACACACACACACACACACGTTCTCAGGGATCCTGACCTTTCTAGTTCCCAGAAGAAACCCAAGCCTAGAGCCTCGAGACAGGCTGCAGGGGCCAGCAGGGAAGGGAGGGGCAGGAGCACTGAAGAGAGAGGAAAGGAACACTGGGGACTCTCCATACCTGAGCTGTGCTGGGGCTTCTCCAGAAGCCCGGTGCTCTGTCGGCTCTAAGCTAGACCTTGTTATCACATCCTTACAAAGAGAGCAGGCAGGCGGCTGCCCTTGCGTGGGCGATGAAATATTCAAATAGAAAAGGGAAGATTTATAATATCGATCTCCTTGAAAGGGCTCGCAGGGACCATGAGCTTTAATTATCAGCTCCAGCCCCGGCGGAGCAATGCCAAGTGACGGTCTGCAGAGGGCTGGATTGATGGCCGGCATAGCCCCTTCCTCACCCGCCCTGGGTGTCTTCTTTCTCGCCCTGGTCCCAGCCCCCCAAGTCCGAGAAAGACAACAAAGGCTCAGCCTCGACCAAAGTGTATGCGACCATCACTCGCAAGGGCGGCTTCCTCCCCAGCTACACCGGCTTGGACCACACAGCTTTGGAGGTGCGGAGGACGAGGGGCACTGGCTGTGGGCTGCCGGGGTCATGGGGGAGGGGAAGCCTGAGCAGGTCTCTAGCCTCCCCTCTCCTTGGCCTCCGGCTAGCCTAAGGGTGTTAGCAGGGGTGACTGGGGAAGAAATTAAGAGGGAAAAGTTAACTGGCCCTTTGAGAAATCGCCAGGAGGGTTTGTGAAGAAGCGGACAGTGGTTGGGGTGGGTTGGTGGGGGCGATCCGGAGCATGAGCCTGGCCGTTCCTTTGCTCGCCCTGCCCCTCACCACCACCCCTCTGCTGAGAGAGCTCAGAGTCCCCAAAACCATGTCCCGTTGAGTATGGAGGCAAGAGAGGGAAAAGCCCCTCCCCACACATACCACCTGGCTCTCTCTGTCCCATTCTGCCCCTCCAGAGGAGTGACCTAGGGCCCACTTTGTACAAGCAAAACTCCCAAGGCTTCCCCAGCCTTCCTGGAGGCTTGCTGGCCTCCTGACAAGCTGTCCTTCCTTCACTCAGTTGCACCATCCTCTCATCACTCATGCCTTCAGCAGCTCTCCCCTCCTGCCTGCGTGGTCCAGCTGCCCCAGGCCCGCTGCGGGATCAAGAGGACACACAGTTCCACAGGAAGAAGGGATCCCGGATGGAGCCCAGCTGCCCTTCCCCAGCCTTCAAACTTCCTGCCCAGTGGAAGTTTGGGAAAGGCTTTGGGGTACAGATTTCAATCCCCCACAGCCTGTGCATGACCGGCTGGAGCTGGCTTCTCCCATCCAGACCATCTGACACAGCCCAAAATGGGCAAACCCAGCAGGGCAAGAAGGCTCTCTAGGCCTGTGTCATAGCTGGGGGCGCTCCTGGGCCACATCTCTCTCCCCTCAGCCACCCCATTGGTGCCTGCAGGGTGGATCAGACCTGCCAGCACCATGTGATGCTCTGTTCTATCACACCCCGCCTGAGGGGAGGCTACAGCCAGTCCACACAGGCATGCACACATGCACACACCCTCTCACACATGCACACACTAACACACACTCGCATGCCTACTCATACTGATGAGGAGAGAGCACCCCCTCCCCCACCTTTCAAGCAGGCCAGAGAGGAGGAGCAGCCCAGGGGCAGCTGAGTCTGGGCAGTGGGACCCTGGAGCAGGCGGGATGTCCTTGAGAAGTCAGAGTCTCGCTTTGTTCCTTGGTAACCTGGGAACAGCCGCCTAATGTGCTCATGTCCTTGAGGTGGTCCAGACCGTGCTTTGCAAAATAGCATGCCTGGGAATTTCTGCCTCTGTCCTCTCCCACAGCTGTTTACAAACGCCCAAGCCCCATCAGATGTTCCCTCAGACAGACTTACGCCTTTGTTCCAGGTCCAGCTCGCTCAGAGCGTGACCCATGCTGGGCACGACATACTAGTGTTTCCCACTTCTCAAGGCCTGTTGCTTGGTTTCTCACTGGCTTAAGGCGGGGTTTCTTGCAACAGTATAAATGCGCACTCATCCAAACATTCACGCCCATACTCACACTCACACATGCACACTCATGCTGACACTCACATTCATGTGTGTACACACACATGCCTGCATGTGCAAGCACATATATGCACACACACACACACACAATCTCAAACACAGGGAACAAGAGACAGCACTAAGCGCTTGTCTGTCTCTGGCCTCTCCTCTCTGGGGAGGGGAGCCACAGACACCTCAAGACTTGGGGAGAACCAGGAAAGACTTGGAGTCCGAGGTCAGAGTGTGCCATGGCCCTTCTCAGATGCTCCACCCACAGCTCCTGGCGGGAGGCAGGAAAAGGGTTCTGTGGCCCCTCTGACTGATGGAAACTGAGAGGAACCTGGCTTGAAGCCTGCACCCCCCCACCCGGCACCAGGGGGTGCAAGGCAGACCTCAGCTCCTGCCCCCTCACAGCGGCGCCCCGAGCCCCTGACAGATGCCGCACCAGCCCCACTGCTGACCTGTGGGCGAGAAGCCAGAGAGGCGGCAGAGCAGGGGCTGGCAGGTGACGGCCACTGGGGGCACTGGAGCAGGGACAGGCACCGGGTTCCCAGGCTCACCCACTCCGCCTCTCCCAGGTCTTTGTCCACGGAGTCAACGACTTCCTCATCAACAGCCCCACATCCCTGGTGGTCATGGCCCGGGTGGTGCCCAGCTACAAGAATTTTCAGTAAGTGGAATCTGCTGGGCAGAGGGCAGAGAAACACAGGAATGGGAGCCCTAGAAATCTATCCCAGGGCCCCGGGAACCTGTGCTGGCTTGAAGGCCCGGACAGGGGCAGTTAGAGCTCTCCTGAGGGCAGGTCACAGGCCTCCTCAGTCCTCCTCATCACCCCCACTCTGAGGCAGAGTCAGCAGTTGCCCCCCAAATGGACCAACCTAAGGATTATCTGAAAAGTCATGACCTTCAGCCCAGGAGCCCCCACTTCAAAGGTCTCCTGGCCCCACCCAGGTCATCCCCCTCCTCTCCATATGCTCTGGGGGTTCAGCTAGTCAACCACCACTCAGGGAGCCCCAGGGCATCTGTGACAATGACGCTTCCGGAGGGCGGAGCTGTGCCTGTCACTTCACAGACTCCTCTGCTCCACTGTCTGGGCTCTGACCACTCCCGTCCCTCTCTGCTGGGAGGGAGGAAGAGGCTGATACATAAGGGCCTCTTGTGGGAGTCCATGCATGCGTACACAAACATGTATGTATGCTCGCAAGTGGGCATATCGGTACATGCACGTTTAGACCCATGTGCACAGTACACTCAAAGGAGCACACGCCCTTCACACTCATACACACACACACACACACACACACACACACACACCCATGTGCTCTCCTCCTACTGCCTCCCAGATCCGGCCCTGGATTTCCCCTGGAGGGTCCCGAAGGGAAGGCCAGATGTCACAGACCCATTTTACTTAAATTTTTATTAGAATTTTTATTTAATTAAAGATCCATGATTTACAGTGGTTGCATTTTAGGCATAGAATATTTCGCTGACAATTCCGCCACCAGCATCAACTCCCTCCCCCAGTGTTCCCATACTGACCTTGATAGTGACATTATGAAGTTCTGTGATTCCAGTTCAGACCTCGTGCCTTGTGTTGTTGAGACACTGTGTTTTGTTTGGTTATGTAACTACCCCTCTCCCACATCACTAGTATAACCCATCCCCGGTCTCCACCCCCGTTCCTTCCCTTTCTCATCTTCCTTCTCCCCATGATTTCTTTCCTTCTCTGTTCTCCTCCTCTCCTCCCTAAGCCGGGGGGGAAGGGGGCGGGGATGTCACAGACCCATTTTAAAGGTAGATCCCTTGAGGCACTCTCGTGTGACCAATCCAGAGTGGGCCCCGGTGTCCCTAGGTGACTGTTGCTCATCTCCTGACCAAGATGAAGTCACGAGCGGCAATCAGAGGGCGTCTTTGCAGTGTCCAGACCCCAGCTAGGTGTGTCCCATGTGCTCCTCTCCCATCCAACCCAAACTCCACCTGGGATCCCTTGGCACAGAGCCAAGAGAGTAGGACCCTTGCCCCCGCCGGCATGGTGCTGACTCATCCCTCTGTCTCCCCAGGGCCAGTCAGGCGAGGCAGGACCCAGACTCGCTGGGACTGCCTCTCACCTCCATCTCCTTCCCCATCCAGTCGATGATGAGCTTCAATGTGCCTCCTGACAGCCAGAATGGGTTTCCTCAGGTACGGATCCCACAAACCTTCCCCTGGCTGCTCCCCCTCAGAACCGAGCACCCATCCACTCCCCTCGCTCACTCCACGCCGTTGTCTTGGTTCCTGAGTGAGCGTCAGATCCCCAAGTCCCCAGGGTCATTGCATGGGGGCCTCCGGGAGGAGGAGTCCTCACGTACAAAGGTCACAATGTCTAACCCAGTGCCTATCATGGAGGGGCTGTGGGGGCCACAGAACTCAGTGGACAGCAGACAGAGCAGGACCACAGTACAGGAGTCCACTGACATGTGGATCCAGACCAGGCAGGGCAGAGGGACCGGTCGTGGAAAAGTGATTCCCAGGGGAGAGGAGAACGGGAATGATTTTATCCAACAAGAACAGAGCGGCTGTGTGGGATGATGTAAATGCTCTGGAAATAGGAGTGATGTTTAGACATCATGAATGTGCTTAATGCCGCTGAACTACACACTTAGAGCAGTGTCAGTGCTAACATTTATGTGATGTATATTTAACTGCCACCAAAAAAAAAAATTGTTTCTAATCAGAGGCAAGAGGGCTGTGAGCCTGAGGGAGGAGGCATACAGATACAGGACTTTGGAGGTTTTTTGGTTTTTTGTTTTGTTTTGTTTTTAATGTGGGGGGCCATACCCAGAGGTCTAGGTGGTGGCTGGGCCATAGCCCAGAGATGGAACTCGGACTCCGACCTGGCAGGGGGCCCCAGGCCTGGCTCAGGATTCTGGAGTTTTCAGTGGGGCAGGGTTGGCACAGGGCAATATGCAGACAAGAGCACAGGGAGAGGAGGACGTGCTAGACCAGGTGTCCAGCAAGACTGGAGGGTGGTGCAGGGGGGAGGAGATGGGGGTGGGGTGCAAACTGATTTCTCCCCATAGACTGCCTGTACTGGGGGCATATCCCACAGCCGGACTCCAACATTCTTAGGGGCCTGTGAAGACCCCAGGGGTGTCTGGGAGTCCTCCCTGCTACTCTCCCAGCTGTGGTCACCCTTGCACGGCACACTAGAACAAGGGACCCTTTCGGAGTCCCGACCTTCATTTCCAGACAAGGGCATTTGAAGAAGGCTCAGACAGACACGGGCCAGAGGGGCTGATAATGGGGGGAGGGGGAAGAAAGGGGACCCTGGGGACCAGGGCTTCAAACCCAAACCAATCCTCGGCCTGATTTCCCCAGGGCCACCGCACACACCGCCCTGCATTTGCCCAGAAAATTATGAACCAATCAGCCAGTCTCCCAAGGGGCACAAGCTTCTGCCTGTCTTAATGAGAGAACCCCCCTCCCCAGCCCAGGCCCACCCTGGCTGCCTGTCTCATCTACCAGAGACCCCCGCCCACCCCTGCGCCCGCAGTATCCCCAAGAAGCATGGAGGCCAGAGCCAGAACACGGAAGGAGATGTGCCGAGTCACCGGAGACATGGGGCAGGGGGCCCTGGGCTGGGGCTTGTGGGCAACTGGCCAGAGGTGTCGACAGGTCAGCAGAGGAGGACAAGGCAGGGTGCTGGACACAGGGAGACCGGGCTGCACCCTCCACCCCTCCACATAGGGCAGCCGACAGGTGATCCCAGTCCCCCAGAGCATCAGAGCAGGAGAATCCGGGGGTCATGGGGTTCCAGTGAGCTGGTACTACTGCCGGGTCCTCTCCTGGCTGCCTCATGCCAGCCCCCCTGGGCCTCCCAGCCAGCCTCAGAGGAGCTGTCGAAGCAGCCCCCACTGGGGTGGGGCTCTTCCTGGGGTCCCCTCAACCCTATCACAGGCAGGCAAAGTCTCACCTGTCCTTGTCCCCTACAGTCTCCTGGCTCACTACTTGGGTCCACTACTTGGGTCCTGTTAGTGTGTGTATGTGTGTATGTGTGTGTGTGTGTGTGTGTGTGTGTGTGTGTTTGAGTGTGTATGCGTGTGAGTGTGTGTGTATGAGTGTGGGGACATGTGTATATGAGACTGTGAGACTGAGTGTAGTTGAGTATGTATGTGTGTGTTCGTGAGTGTATTTGAGTAAGTAAGTATGTGTGTGTAACTGTATGTGTAAGAGTGTATTTGAGTGTGGATTGTATGAGTGTGCGTCAGGTTGGGTGTGTGTGTATGGATGTGCTTGAGTGTGTGAGTGTGTGTGAGCCTCTGTGGATGGGTTCTAACCCCTTGGAGAACTTTGAGCCTCCAACAGGCATGGCCCCCGCCCCCCACCTGCCCTATGCCATGCTGCACCCCACAGGCACTCAACACGGAGCAGCTCCCACGCGCATCTGCTGGTCAGCTGAACTGGGCTTGTCCCTCCCCCGTACTCTCTGCTTCCCGGCGTCCCCTCCTACCTTTACCACAGCCTGTCAGAGCAGGCACTTAAGACAGGCCCCAGGGACAATGGCAGCGCATGATGGCAGAGAGGGACAGTCACACGGTGAGTTTCAGGTGGACTTGGGCCCTGGATCCAGAGATCTGAGCATCCCAAGACTGCAGCATCAGCTGTCGGCAGCCCCTCTCCCAGTATGTGCCACGTGCAGCAGGCAGTGATGGGGTGGGGTGGGGACACGGGCAGGGTGGGGGGCATGAACCCACGGGGTGAAGGCTCCATCCAGTGCCCGGGATGGCGCCCGCCGCAGTGACCAGCCGGGTTAATGGCTTTGCTGGAGGTCACAGCCAGGGTTAATCACATCCCTCCATTCACAGGCTTTTCCACTAGCATTGCAGAGTCCTTCTGGCCCCTGCTATCCCCCAGACATGGGCCCTCGGGTCACATTTCCCATGACCACCCTCCCACAGCAGGCTGCTCTGCCTCAGTCTGGATTCGGCTTCTTTACCCCCCATCTGAGAGGCTGAACGTCCCAATCCTAGGTCTGGGGTCCCCGTGCTGTTAGCCAGCTGGAAGGGACCTGCTCTTCTGGGGTTCTCCTGTGTCACAGACACCACTAGACACACACGAGCCCTGAAGGGGACGGCTGAGCTGTTAAATGTCCCACGGCCAGCAGGAAACAAGGTTGGGCAGCAGGGGACCAAGACCTGGCCATCCTGGAGTGTCCCAGTGCCTGGCAGAAGGCCCAGGCCAAGGGGGATTATAGAGTGGCTTTGAGCTGAGCAGGCTTTGGGGAGCACTCCTGGAAGACCCCTCAAGCCCCACAGCACCTGTGAATAGCTTCCCTCGCTGGTTGGCCTAGTGGTTGTCCTGAGTGTCCTTCCAGCATCCTTTCATTACCCTTTCAGCATCCTGGTACTGTCCCTGTGCTCAACGTCCCCAACCCCAAGGGATCTGGTCCACCTCCCCGGGGCTGGGACTGGGGCAGGGTGCCCTCAGCTGACTGGCAGGGGGGCCCTGCTGCTACTCCAGAACCTGCTGCAAACTCCCATAGTGGCCGCCTGCATTTGTGCTGACCTTTTCAGCTGTGACTGATTCCCCACAGGGGAATCAAGCTGGGGCAGAGGGGGTCACTGCGGCAGCTGACAGCCCCTGACCGGCAGAGGTTCTGCAGCCCCTCAGAGTCTGTGCCCAGGACCCCCCCCCCAGCCCTTCCCTGTTCGGGGCCTCAGGCTAGCTTGCAGGGGTGCTACGGACTGAGTCCCCCTCTTCCTCCCTCCGTCCTCCAGTTCCCTGCCTCCCCTTAGTGTGGGCCACTTGCCCCTCCCTGAACACTTTCTTCCCTCCCTCCTTGCTCTACTTTCTTTCGGGACCTCCCTCTGATCCTGCTTCTTTTAAGATGCCTATGCCTATTCTGGGTCTTTTGTTTTTGGTTTTTGTTGGATCTTTTTTTTTTTTTTTTGCTTTTTGGGGGGCCTCATTTGGTGGTGCTCAGAGCTGACTCCTGGCTCTGTGCTCAGGGATCATTCCTTCGTTGGCTGGGAGAGGGGGGCAGGGAGGACCTATGAGGTGCCAGGGATTGAAGTCAGGTTGGCTGTACGCAAGGCGAGTGCCCTACCAGCTGTACTGTCACTCTGGGCCCCTGAACCAGGTCTTTTAAGGGGATCACTCCTGGCGGTGCTCAGGGCTGTATTCCCAGGACCCTGCAGGATGGAACCTGGGCGTCCTGCTTACAAAGCATGTGCTCTCTCTCCTGCCAGAGATGCCTTCTCCGTTTCTTTTTGTTTTGCCTTTTTCCTTTGGGGTGGGGCTGAGGGGCACACTCTGATACGCAGAGACTGTTCCTTGCTTTGTGCTCAGGGGTGAGCCCTGGCAGTGCTGGGAAAACTGTATGTGGTGCCAAAGATTCGAACCCAGGTCAGGCAGCCTTAGTGGCCTGCTCTGTCAGACCTTTGCTGAGCACCCATAAGAATGTCCCCAACTGTCCCCTCCATAGTCCACTCTGCCCCATTTCACAGTTTTCATTTTACCCATATGTGAGCCCCAGCTTCGGTCCCCTGAGCCTGGATGGAGCACACTGCAGTCACTGAGGCTCAGGAGACCTTCTTTGGCCTCTGCCAGCGCCCGGGGATGTGTGAGGCAGAGAGGGCCTGTGGCTCACTCCACACCACTCAGCCCTGGCATCACATACCCACCGAAGACCCAGGACATTTACATAATCGTCCCTTCCCTGTGCCAAGGGGATAAGCCAGGCTAAGAGAGGCGAGTTTGGGAACTCTCCTGTGTGATGTTGTCATAAGGAAAATGGGTGAATAGGGACCATGGTGCATGGACGTGACACTATCCTGCAGGTACTAAACCCCAGGGAGACCAGCATGCCTGAGACTCAGGATGTGCCGAGGTTTACATGGCCAGTGAGAAAGGCAAGCTGGTGGCATCATTGGGGAAACTGAGTCCCACTATCATCTCCCACTTTCTGCTTCCAGGTATCAAAGTCTGGGGTGCCCCCAGAGCTGCCCCTGTGGAATCAGTCGTTCCTCTTCCAGAGCAGAGAAGGAGCCACCAACTTCTCCCGGGATGCGGCCCTGGTGCTGGAGTACTTCCCTTCCCCTTCAAGTATGGGCCGGGGCAGGCAGGCCAGGCTGTAGGGGCAGGGGAGGGGCCCAGGCCACTGGCTGCCCAAGACTGCAGGAGGGACCATCTGCCTCATCCACACTGCAGCTAGGACCAGGCCCAGGACTCCTGGCCCATTCCCAGCCAAGCTCCCTACATTTGTCTTGCACCCCCACTTCCAGAGAGCATGGTGGGGTGGTACACACAGTTCACATGCCAGCTCCAGTGATGCAGTTTGAATTCTGCCATCAGATGCAGAGATCCATTTTAAAGGCCCAGAGACTGGACATGGGAGGTGCTGGGAGGAGCTTGGGGAGCACTGAGAGGCGAAGAAGGAAAGAAGTGACCACACAGGAAATGCAAGGACAGAGGAGACAGGCGGAGGTGAGGGCGGGCGAAGCAGGTGCTGTGGTTTGAAGCCGAGAACCCTGAGCCCGCCGTTTCCTGGCAGTGAATGGCGCTAACCCCGCCACCTTCAGCAAGAAGCGTCTGGGCCTCTCCGTGTTGCCACTGAACAGTCGTCTATACCGCAAGATGCAGGAAGAGAAAAGCCTGCGTGGGCTGCGGGTTGAGCGACTCCCCATCATTGTGAGTTCCTGCTCCTACCGCACCCCCATGCTCCACCTGGCCCTGCCCCTGGCCCAGGCCAGTCTGGCATCCCCCAACTCTATCCTACAGGGCCCCTAGCAGGAAGGCCGAACTCTCATCAGGCGTCAGGGGCTCCCTGCGTCCCCCCACGCTCCCTCTCATCTCCAATCTTGTGATGAGACTGCCCCAAGCAGAGACCAGAGAGATAGTCCAGGGGTTAAGGCACCTGCCCGGCATGCAGAGAACCCAGTTAGAATTCCAAGCACCACCAGGAGGAGTCCCTGAGCACAGAGTCAAGAGTGAGTCCTGAGCACTGCTGAGTGTGGCCCCCCAAAAGAAAATTGCCCAAACAACTTGGAGAGAAGCCCAGGGAGGCCCTTGGAAAGAAATCCAAGAGCACAAAGTTCTTTCAGCCAATGTCCTACTGCCTCACAGGCCAGCCCTCACTCGTCCCCATCCTCAGATTCCTCCTCTAATGAGGGAACCTCCTGCCCTGGACAGTCTCTGAACCAGAGCCCAGGGCCAGGCGCCTGGATCCAGATTGGGTTCTGCCTTCCACCGGCTTTTAGACTGGGGGGAAATGAGGGTGCATGTCCCAGTTTTCTTGCTTGTACATGGCGGGGGGTGGAGGGGGAGGGACTGTCTGGCTCTCCCTATCAAAGGCTCAGACTAAGTTCTGAATGGATGTTATCGGGTCGCTGTCCCTACACCACCACCTTGGCTGCTAACATGCTCCCGGGCAGCTGAGCGGCCACCATGCTCCCCTCCCCAGACCCCGACCATAGGCAAGACTGTGGGTGCCAACTGGGTATCCAGGGGAGTTGGGGAACATGGATTGCAGTTAGGGTGGGAGAGGGAGGAGGCCGCTCCTATCTCCCTTCCACTCTCGGGGCACAGTCCCCAGCAGACCAGGCCTGGGGACAGAGCCACAGCTGACACTGCCCCCTCAATCCCCAGGACACCAACCTGAAAACCATGCATGGAGAAGTGCCCACAGTGGACGTCTCCTTGCAGCTGCATGCCTTGGAGGTAAGGCTTGCGGCACGGAACAGCTCCTGCAGCACCCCCTGAGAGGGTTTAGTGCCTGTGAGGCTGCTGCCCGGCTCAGGGGCCGGGTCTACACTGGACAGGCATGTTGAGGTGCAGCTCCAGAAAGAAGAACAGAGTGAATGCTGAGATGCGGAGACAGTTGAGAATTGAGGCCACCTAGAGCAGGCCTGGGCCTGCCTCACCCTGCTCCCTGGGACCAAGCTAGTATGTTGTTTCTTTTTTTTTTTTTCCTTTTGAAGTAAAACATTTCATTTGGAGGGTTATAAGAAGGAGAAGGAGGGAGGGAAATTGAGCAAATCACGCCCTCAAAGGAGAAGGCGGGCTTCCCCGAAGGCGGAGAGAGCCCACACACCCCAGCATTAGATATGAAAGTACACAATTCAAGATTGGAGATGCGGGTGACACATGTGCTTCGCCACATGGGTACAAGCAGCACATGGGCTCAGGCAGCATATGTGCCATAGTATGTTGTTTCTGTCTTGATGATGTTGTTTCTTGGGTTTTTTTTTTGGTTTGGGGGCCACACCAGCAGTGTTTAGGGGCTACTCCTGGCTTGGAGCTTAGGGGTCCCTTGGGGGACCTGGAAACTGAACTCTGGCCTCCTGCACACAAAGCTGAGGCCCCATCCTATGCGTCTAACCCTCTGGCCCTGTGACTTTTGTCACTTCCTTGGATGGGGGAACAAGCCATAGAAGAACCCCATGTGTGAGCTCATACCTCAGGGTCAAACCCTACGACATGTAGTCCCTCTGGGATCAGGCTGATGACAGGGTCATCCCTTTGTGGAGGCGTTCAGGAAGAGATCTTCCCCCCTGCTCCAGGAGCGTGTTGGGATTCACTTCCTGTTGCTGGAGGCTGAGCTCTTGTTGCTGGCCATCAGGAGCTTCCTCCTTGGTTACTTCAAGCTCCCCCCCCCACACACACACACACATTCCTTCTCACGGGGGCCTCTCCATTCGCAGGGGATGTGTTTTGGGTGACAGCTGGTGGTGCTCAGCCCCTGGCAGTGCTCAGGGGATCTTATGGGATGCTGGGATGGAACCCGGATTGGTCACATGCAGGGCAAACACCTTACTATGTACTATGACTCCACCTAGGGGCCCTCCACCTTTAAGCCACCAGCACGGTCCCCCAATATCCTCTTCAACATCCAAGAGAGAGTCTGCTCTGATTCATTCATTGCATGTCCCTCCCTGATGCCCGTTTGATGCTGTGATGTTGAGGAATCACATATCTGGTGGTGACATTTGTGGGGAGCAGGGGGGCACATCCCTTTACTGAGGTGCTCACACACTTTCTGGCTGTAGTGCTCCTCAGGGTTGCTGTGGGGCTCACACATGCTCACCAGGGGCTGCACTCCTGCCACAGTGCTCCCACATGGGGGTGCTCCCCCAGGTCTTGTCCTTAACCTGTGCCCGCACACACCTGGCTGATGTGCATCTGGAAACTGGTGCCAGAGATCTTAGACGACAGTGCTGTCAGGAGCTTGACTGGTACATGTAGCAGCACTAGATATTGAACTCGAGACCTCATGTTTCAAGGCAGATGCTCTAACCACTAAGCCCTCACCCAGCCCCAAACTGCTTTTCTGGGGGGAGGAGGTTGAGCTGCTACTGGCAGTTCTCAGGAGACCATGTGTGGTGCCAGGATTCAAACTAGGGACGCTGTAGGGCCAGAGCAATAGTAGAGCAGATAGGATACTTGCCTTGCACACAGCTGACCCAGGTTCGACCCCCCAGCACCCCACACGGTTCTCTGAGCACCGTCAGGAGTAATTCCTGAGCACAAAGCTAGGAATAAAGTCCTGAGCGTCACTGGGTATGGCCCAAAACACAAAAAATAAGGGAAAAAAGCAGAACAGAGACACTGTAGATGGCTAAATGCCTCCCTCCCCCCAAACTATGATTAGGCCAGGCCCCTCTGATAAGGGGGCATATAACCTCAAGAGTACCGACTCATTGCAATTAGGGACTGCAGGAATTAGGGTGTAGACACTTGGGGGGGCCCTTTGTTTTCATCTTGCCTCCTGCCACTGGACAGATCCCTAGGGGAAGGTCCCAGAGGCCTGAATCATGCCCGAGATGACGGTCTCTAGCGAGCCTAACCGGAATTCTGAGGCCATGTGCTAAAATTTTCTTTTCTCTCTGGTGCTGGAACAGACACAAGGTGGAGGTGTGAGCAGTTTAACACCATGAGTCTAAGAAATTTCTGCAGTCGCTGAGGCTGACAGCCTATTCCTGCCAACTTCACACACAGAAAAAAAAATAAAATAGCCACCACTCTAGGTCTAATTCTTGACAAATACAGGGAGTTCCTGGGGTTGGGGCATGAGGGTCGGGCTGGGAAAATAGCCACAAGACTCAGGACAGTACTTGGACCCTACCCTGAGCACGCTCCAAGGCACTGAGATTCCTCTTATTCCTTTAGTGTCGCCGTTTCTGGACCACTCCTGGAGAGGCTAAGGTTTACTCCTGGCTCTGAACTCAGGAATTATTCCTGGCAGCGCTTGGGGAACCGTAAGGGATGCCAGGAATCGAATGTGGGTCAGCCACGGGCGTGGTAAATGCCATCCTGGCTGTACTATTGCTCCGGCCCCTCCTCACATTCCCGGTGAGAGGGCATCTCTGCCAAACACGGCATACAGGGAGTTTAATGTCCCCGAGATTATATGCCCCGTTATCAGATGTGAAACACAATTCTCTGCTCTAGAACCTAGGCCAGACAGAGGATGATGCAGGAGCAGAGAAAGCCCTCAAGAAAGAGATCGAGGGTCCTTCTAGCAAAAGCTTACCAATTTCCCAGATTGGAGTTCAGCCCTCAGGGTCCATGGGAAGGAGACTGGCCAGGTCCCCGGGGCTAGCAGGCAGGCAACAGGCAGGTGGGCAGGGCTGCCCAGGCGGGCACAAAGGTCTCCATGATGAATTATTCACCCTGAGCTGTGCTAAGTGCAGAATTAATCCCTTTCCTTCCAGCTGGCGGCCTCACTAAATTATCCCTCCTAGTCATGCGGGAAAACACTGCCGAATTCATTTAGCTCCTGAGTGTTTTGATCTGGGGCTGGTGAATTTAGCTCCCCCTTCCCCCAGCCCCCTCCCCCTGGAGGCGGTTTTTAAAAAAAAGAGAGAGAGAGAAAAACCTTTCAGTAATGGATTTCTAAGAAGAATGGAAAAGAAAGGGGACTCAGAGGGGCGTGTTCTACGGGAAAATAGTACTAGAGGAAATTCAGATGCAGCCGGCAAGAATTCACACAATTGGACACCGAAGCGTGCACTAGAACTTGCACCCTGGGCCCTTCACGGATTCATTTGTCGCACATGACCCATGCATGCCTTGGCACAGACCCACGCATGCCTTGGCAAGCACGTTCACTCCCACTGAACACACATACATGCTCCCATATGCACGCAAAACACACGCCAGTGTGGACACAGAGGAGCAGGCAGTGCTCCTTGGGGTGAGACAGTTTCCTGGAGAAATTCGGAGTTTGCCAACCTGGGTTTGATCCCTGGCATCCCATGTGGTCCCCCCAGCACTTCCAGGAATGATCCCTAAAGCCCTGAGCATCACCAGGTGTGACTACAAAACCAATAAAACAAAACTACTTTAAAAAAAAAATACTTAAAGCCGCAAGAGATCTTTGGGTCCCCGGGATGTTCCCACTCCAGAGAGAAGTACCTGGGAGCCTTTGAGCGCATCTCACCTTCCATGAGGCTAACAAGGGCATCCCAGGGCAACTCGTAATAGAGTTCAGTAGTAGACTGTAGACCTTAGTAATAGAGGAGGAGAGAAAACATTTGCTGTGCCTGTCCCAGCTGGTACCTCTCAGCAGAGAATGCATCACTTCCCCAAGCATCTCCATGTCCATGCAGTCTGGACTTAGCCACTCTGCTCCCTTTACCACATCTATGAACGCTCTGCCCTCACCCCACTTTACCTACACGTCACCTGCCCTCTTGTGGATCTGAGATTCTTTGGGGGAGGCACTTGGGGGCCACACCCATCAGTGCTCAGGGCTCACTCTGGCTCTGCATACAGGGCTCACTCCTGGCAGAGTTCAGGAGACCATATCAGTGCCGGGACGGAACCAGGATTGGCCACATACAAGGCAAAGGCCTTAACCCTGTCTATCTCCCCACATTCCCACATGGAAGTCCAGACAGGCAGTGCCTGGCAGGTGGATCTCATAGCTCCCCTGACTGCTCCACCAGATGTGGGCATCCTGGCTTCTCGAACTCTTGCTCTGCCCTGTTAGGGGGCCTCACAACCTCCAGAGGCAGCCTGTGCTGAGACTCAGTGACTACAGTGCCTAGAAGTGCCCACCTAATCTCTAGCCCAGCCTGTTTGGGAGGAGGAAGATTGGGGTGTGGAAGGGAAGTTTGTCCCAGGCTCTTGGCTCTGCCTTCTGGGGCAGTGCAACCCTGGCAGGTGACCTGTGCAGGATTTGAGGCCTCAGCTCGTGGTTATCCAAACAGCCTGGCAGGCAGCCTGACCCAAAAGAAGACAATCTGTCGGAGGCATGAGGGACATGAGGGGCAGTCTCCTGGTTTGGAATATTGGGCGTGAAGATTCTCTTGCCCTGGATAGGGCTTCTCCCTAGACTTCAGCCATAAGCTGGAGTCAGGTGGTGGAGAACCATGCACAGATGGGTCTGAGAGATAATACTGGAGTTAAGGCACTAGACTTGAAGCAGCCAGCCAGATTCCATCCATTCACTCCCTGCCTATGATCCCTCAAGCATCACTAGGAGTGATCACTGAGCACAGAACTCGGAGTAGCCCCTGATCACTGCAAGGTGTGATGCCCATCACCCCGACACACACACACACACACACACACACACACACACACACACACACGCTACATGGGGCCAGAGACATAGTACAGTGGGTAGGGTAATTGCCTTGTACTTGGCTGACCTGGGTTCTCTTCCAGAAACCCCAAACCAAACAACAGCAACAACCCCAGCCCACGTGTATGTG